CCCTCCCCGGCCGGTCCCCTCCCGCCCCCACCTCACCCGCGCCCTCCCGCCAGTGTCTCCCCTGCGGCCCCGGGGGCAAAGGCCGCTGCTTCGGGCCCAGCATCTGCTGCGGGGACGAGCTGGGCTGCTTCGTGGGCACGGCCGAGGCGCTGCGCTGCCAGGAGGAGAACTACCTGCCGTCGCCCTGCCAGTCCGGCCAGAAGGCCTGCGGGAGCGGGGGCCGCTGCGCCGCCGCCGGCATCTGCTGCAGCCCGGGTGAGTCGGGCAGGGGCCGAAACGGGACCGGGGCTCCGGGACCAGATGGACGGGGCCGGGCGGCCCTGACTCGGCGTCTCTCTGTGCAGACGGCTGCCGCTCGGACCCCGCCTGCGACCCAGAGGCAGCCTTCTCCCAGCACTGAGACCCACCGGCTCCCAACACCGTTGGAGCGCAGCCCTCACTCCCTCTGTAACCATCCCCAGGAATTATGACAGTGAAATAAAGCCGTTTTTTTTCCCCTCCAACAAGCCTCGCGTCTGAGTGTCAAAACTGGGGGGGGGAGGGCTTTGGGGGAATCGAAGTTCCTCGGCTCTCGGCGCTTCAAATGTAATTAGAGTCGCGGGCCAGGGCGCCATCCTATAGAGGTGGATGGAGGAAGGAGTTGGGGCGGGGGGGACTACACGGCGGGCTCCCAGGGAGATGGAAACAGTCCCCAGATTCCAACTCCAAACAGGCTGGCCATGGGAGGAACCTGGTGACTCAGACGGTAAAGAGTTTGCCTGCAGTGTGGGAGACCCGAGTTCGATCCCTGGGTTGGGAAGATACCCTGGAGAAGTGGCACCCCCCCCCCCCAACCCCGTTCCAGTGTTCTTGCTTGGAAAATCCCATGGACGGAGGAGCCTGGCTGGCTACAGTCCATGGGGTTGCAAAGCGTCGGACACGACTGAGCGACTTCACTTTCTTTCTTTCACTTTCTGAGGTCTAAAGGGAGAGCTGGGCACACAATGACAAGGGTCTGACAGGGGACCAGAGGAAGGGCTGGCGGTCAGTCGGCGAGAGCGAAACTTTTATTTTATTTATTTATTTATTTATTTATTTATTTATTTTCCTCTCTTCCATTGTTTTATTTTTCCCCCATTTATTTTTATTAGTTGGAGGCTATTTACTTTACAATATTGCAGTGGTTTTTGCCATACATTGACATGAATCAGCCATGGATTTACATGTGTTCCCCATCCCGATCC